CGAAAACTTGACAACACTCAACATGTTCCAGGGCAAGTTTCAGACTTTATTCTAACATGCACTTTGGCCTTTTGTTTGATTTTTTACTTTCTTCACATATTATATTCTTGATGTCATCCCACAACTGTTCTGGTTTTTGGTTATTAATGCTTAATGCATCAAATCCATTCTTGAAGTGGTCTCTAAATACTTGATGTCATATTTTGGCTCTCATGAACTTGTTCTAATTTTCTTCAGCTTCATCTTGAACTTGCATATGAGCAACTGCTGATCTGTTCCACAGTCGGTCCTTAGCCTTGTTTTGGCTAATGATTTTGAGCATCATCTCTTTCTATAGATAAAATCAATTTGAATTTGATCCCTGTGTATTCAATCCTGTTGAGGGCCACATGTATTGTTATTGTTGTTTTAAAAAAGATACTTGGAATGAATAAGTTTTTGGTCTTGCAAATTCTATCATGTAATCTCCAGTGTCATTTATATCACCAAGGCCAAGTTTTCCAACTACTGATCCTTCCATTTCCAAGTTTTGAATTCTAATCACCAGTAATTATCAAAGCATTTTTATTGCATGTGTGACAAATTTCAGACCGAAAAAGGTGGTTGAATTAATCCATTTCTTCATTTTGGCTTTAGTAGTTGGTATGCAAATCTGAATAATAAATAGTCATATTCACTGGTCTATCTTATTATTGGGTACTCTTGAGTCAGCTCTGACTCCTAATGACCCTGCCTAGGGCTTCAGGAGTAGAAAGCCTCATCTTTCACCCTTGAAGAGGCTCCATCTTTTTAAAAGAAGAGAGTCTTATTTTCCTCCCTCAAAGCAACTGGTGGATTTGAACGGTTGATCCCGTAGTTATCAGTCCTCCATGGTGGTGCTGTAGAATAAACACTGGACTGTTAATTGGAAGGTCAGCAGTTCAAACCTACCAGTTGCTCAGAAACCCTATATAAATTCACTGGGTTGGAAACCACAAGATGATTTCCTGTCATAGGCAGCATAGTACTTCATTAATAGTGGGAATAAAATCAGAAACCTATATTAAATAAAAATACCAAAATGTGAAGCTATTGTTTCTTTATATATTCTCCATCTAGATCTACACATTTCTGAAGGTGGCGTTTCCATCTTTTTAATACTTTTTTCAAAGAATTCTGTGCTCTTTGATTTACACCAAGTTAAAACACCAGTTTGTGGCATCCTCAAGGAATTCAACTTGTGTTCTTTTAAAACTGTGCTTTGAGTTTGGGGGAATAAAAGAAGTCTGAAGGAACAAGTTTGGGCAAGTAGGGTGGGTGAAGTAAGGTTTCTCAATGAAATTTTCCTAGAATAGCCCTTGCTACACTTGAGGAATGAGCAGGTGCCTTGTCATGATGGGGACAAAATTCTTGGTGCAACATTTCTGGTCTTTTTCTCACCCATGCAGTTTTAAATTTCCTTAAAACCTCTTCCTTCTCAGTCCCCATGACTGTCTTGTGTCCTTGGAGAAAATCTATCAAGATGACCTCTTTGGAATACAAACAAAACAAAACAAAACCAGTTACTATAACCTGAGCTGACCACTCTGCCTTGAATTAAACTGGTCCAGCAGATTCATTCCCTCAGAAACTACTGTTTTGATGCAATTTTGAGGGGAAGGCACCCTAAGGAGACTAAGACAAGTGTATTACTGAGAGAACTGGTCTGCATCCATCCACTGATTGCAGAAACACAATAAAGACATTTTTTTGTTTGAAATGTGCTAGAGCTTGTATGAACTGGAACCCTAATAGCAATACTTTTTTTGTTGTTTTTAAACTTACCCTCATTGTTTATACTACTTGGGTGGGGTGCTGTCTACTGGACATTCAGAACCGTGAGAGGGAAATTTGCACCCTCAGTCATGGTAAGAACCTGAGACTGTGGAAACTCCTGGCTGCAAACTTGGATCTGTCCCTTACCTGCAGTGTAACCTTGAGCAACCATTTAACTTTTCCTTGCCATTCAAAGAGTTACCTACTTCCTAGAGCGACTGTGAGGAGTATATGAGTTAATCCACAAGAAGAGCTTGGAGCAGCGCCTGGCTGGCGTAGAAAACTTGTTAATAATAATACAACGTTTCAGATCCAGGGCACTGAAATTCTGCCACTTGCTGCCTGGCTATGGAGTTGTGAAATTTGGGGACCCAGGAGCTTCGTAGCCATTGTTGTTGTTGTGAAGTGCCGTTGAGTCGATTCCGACCTATAGCGACCCTGTATAGGGTTTCCAAGGAGCAGCTAGTGAGCTTGAACCGCCAACCCTGCATTTCAAATGACTTTGCTGTCTGACGCTTTAGTCCACAGCGCCATATAGTTGGGGACAAAAGTGGTTAGGAATTGCATGGGGAAGGGGGTATAGATGGAGAGCTGCGACTATGTTATCCAGAGGAGCCCAGCTAAAACTTTGGTCTCCTTGCCACTAGCATTGCCACTGTTTCTCCTCGGGAAGGAGTCAGTCCAGCGAGCGGTGCAGTATAGCCTTTCTCCAATCAGACACCTCAAGGCCAGCGCCACGTCTGCGACCGGATCCAATCTCGTCCCCTGGAGGGCGGGAACACGAAGTTCCCACCTGCACCTGTGGCAGCGAGTGGCCTCCTCCAGGGTTATTTCTCACTCTTTCACTTGCTTGCTGCCCCAGGGTTCGGGTTTCTCAATCACTTAGCGAATAACCAGTAGGTGGGCAGATGTTCCTTCCAGCGATGAGGGCAGACGCTGAGTAGAGTGAGCAACCAGGAGTCCCAGCTCCAGACGCCACCCGGGCTGCGTGAGCTGGGGGAAGGGACAAGCCCGAGAATAAAAAGCTGCTAACTAGGAGTTTCCAGAAGTCTTCACCTGGGGAGGCGAGCGTAGCACTCCCACCCCACCTCCAATTGGAGCCTACCGATCAGTGAGCTAGAAGCTGCCGCGAGGCCGCCGGCACCTTGTGCCGAAGTTGGCGGCTCCTGGGAAGTTGGCGGCTCCTGGGACGACAAGTAGCAGCACTCGGCTTGGCCTGGGTGTGGAGATTGCTCGTTCACCTCCTGATCACCCGCCGGCCAGCACACCTTCCCGAAGGCAAATCTCCCCTAACTGAGCAGAGAACACCGCGCCTCGGCTACCGGGGTGCCCTGTGCGCGCAGTTTGGTGTTCTTTGCTGTGTTGCGGGTTCCACGCGGGACCGCGAGGTCTTGGAAAGCAGAGCAGGTGAGCTATCCAGGGTGGTTCTGTGTCTGCGGAGACCGAGTTTGGCTCTGGGGTGTCAGCCCTGAAGTGCTGCCCTTCGCCTTCCATTCCTCTGTCCCTGGGTGCCGGAGAAGCAGCTGCGGTCCTCTAGCGCTTCGGGACTGCTCTTGGTGGAAATTTGCTAATGAATCAAATATGTCACTCATGCAACTTGTTCAAAGGCCTTCTGTGCGCACAAAGTTGGACCGGGGTGGACCAAAAGAAAAAAGTATATGGCAGTCAGAAAGTATCAGGACAACCCCCAAGCAAAAAAATAGCTTTAGGATTTTTCGGATCTGCAAAGTGGAGAGAGCAGGATGTTTGGAAACCAACTGCCCACAGTGCCTTAAAGTTGTGGGTGTCTTTGATTCGGGGAGAACTTTTCGCTGTTCTTTCCTTCCATTGTTTTCAAGTTGAAGCTGGAGCGTGCCCTCAGGGCGATCTGGGAGGAGTTGCTGCGGTGGTTTCGGGGCGCAGCCGCCTACTGCGCCACCTCTCGGAGGTGCTCGGATTTCCTCTCCTGGTGGCCGGGAGAGCCAACTATAAACGTCTCTAAGAGTGATGGCGAGTCCCAGGAGTGCCGGGCGGATGGGATGGGAAGGAACAGAGCGGAGACCTGGAAGTGACCCTTGGCGCAAAAGAAACCTCCACTTTCTTGGTGTTAGTTCCCGATAGACCAGGAACAGAAAGGAGGCGCAGGAGGCTCACTGCCGAGATAAGCATTGTCAATGCTAATAAGCAGTATTTTGCTCTGCGAAGGGGGCTTTTGCAAAGTGGGGGGAGGGGAGCAATTGAAGGCACGTAGGTTTGTGGAGCTGTTGACTCTCTCGCTCTCTCTCCCTGCCTTACAAGAAAGTTTGAAAGAACAGATTTCTCATTTGCAGCTTAAACTCTCAGGAGTTGCGTAGTGGAGACTTGGTGCTTGTAATTGAAGCAGAGAAACGCTTGCCACTTGGCTTCATCTCAATAGTCAAGGGACCTGGCTTCATAGAGATTCAAGGTTGATCTCTAGGGAAAGAGTAAGGGGCCTTTTTCGCTTTTCAAGAGAGTTTAAGTTTAGACATGCTGCTCTGGAAATCCCAGGGCAGACTGTATGTTGAAAAACAAATTTAAAAACACCGGGCGCTTACCCCTCTGTCTTACTGAGAGGTAACTTCCCTGAAGTAACCCGTTAAAATGGATCTGAGGATAGAACCTTTTGGGGGAGGGGACTTCAGGTGTTTCACATTGTCGGATACTAACCGTTTATCTATAGCTGGACTTGTTGGGTTCGGAGTGCCCTCGTAGGTATTTATCTGGAGGGCTCCATTCTGGGCCAGATAAGTCACCTTTGGACGTCCATTGTACAGTCAGACAGAATGGGCTGTTTTCCCTTCCGGGGCCTCAATTGGTACAACTGACTAGTCCCTAGTGCTGACCACTGCACTTTATCTGGAGACCAGGCAAAGGTTGAGTCCTGGGGATACTAAGGCGCAGCCTCACGACCAGGTGGTGGCGCTTTGGAGCCCATTCCTTTGCCGGAGTCCTGGGGGCGTGGCGGTACCCTTAGGAACTGTGCAGCGCCTTGAATTCCAGTAAGTGGAGCCTGGCCGATCTGGTGCTGGCTGGAGCACAGGGGAGGGAAGGCGATGGAGAGGCACGTGACTTCAGCAAACCCAGTAACCAGTTTTGTTTTCTTCTCCAATTCAGGGCGCAGCCTCGGCTTCCACCCTGCAGCGCTCGGGTTTGAGTGAAAAGTGGGAGTCCTTGGGGAAAGCAGGGCAGCACCACCATAGCCGAACATGGCCAACAGCAGCGGCACCGGCAGCTCAGGTCCCTGGTGGAAATCGCTAACAAACAGCAAAAAGAAAAGCAAGGAAGTCACAGTGGGGGCACAGCCTCTAGCTCAGCCGGCTCCAGGAGAGTCTGCACCACACACACCACCCAGCCCAGACTGGACTAGCAGTTCTCAGGAGAACTTGCACCCCAATCTCTCTGGGTGTGCCGGTGACCCCCACAAGCCAGACAAGTCATAGGGAGAGAAATCGATCCACAGCTGCCGCAATTTGAAGATTTCGCCTTCTGTGCACTTCAAGGAAAAGAGGAAGGTGCGCGCCACCCTACTCCCTGAGGGAGTCAAATCCTCGGAGGAGGTGGGCGCCCCTGATGACCCCCACGAAGACAAACAATAGCCTGAGTGCTTCGAAAGGACAGTTTCCTTCTCCTGCTGGCCCCCAAACCCTACCTAGTTCTGAAAAGTCTGAACCTCCTGTGTTTTGTGTCTCATCCAACAAATTCAGTGTATTCATACAAGGCATCCATGATTTGATAGAAATTGAAGCGTCAATTGAATTTTCAATATTTCATGACTGAAAGGTGCATTGTGTGTGTGTGTGTGTGTGTGTGTGTGTGTGTGTGTATTAAGATAGAATACTTGCCACAGGGAAAGTTGGTATTACACCCCCTCCCCTCACCAAAGCTATTGTGTGGCCTCCACTTCTTAAAGTCACATGTAAGAATAAGAAGGATTCTTCTCTAGGAGATGGTAGGTTCACTTGAACTGCACAGCCCCTCAAGTGAGGAAGGTGTAGTCTGATTCAGAACTCACTTCTGGAAAGCAAAACCCAGAGCTATTTTGAATGCCAGAAAAGTGCACTTTAGAATTACATCAGCAGACCTTAAGGGAAAGGATGGGGAAGAGAAAGAAGCATTTTAAGTAGAAATATTGAAAAGCAGGATAGCATTGGATATTGAGCTACAAAACCGTACCACCTATTTAGTGTGGACTATTAAAATTATTGCACTGTAAGACTTAAGGTGACTTGTATTTTTTTCACCACCACGAGACTGGAATCCATCCTACGTAAAAGCAGGCATGCAAAGTCTGAGGCGACAGAGTTAATTATTAGCTACACAACATAACAGCTGCTCTTGGAAAGCGGTAGGAGAATATTTCCAGAAACCAGCAACACCCGGACTGAAACCAGCCAGCTGGATTTCTCAATTTACTAACCAAATTCAAGGAAGTAGGGGAGAGGTTCTAGTTTGTTCATTATTCTTAAATTCTCCTTTTACTTCAGTGCACTTTCATAAAGTCAAAGTGCTAAAATACATAATTTTGGTGTCTGTTGCTAACCGTAGCGACAAACAATTGTTTGAAAATTCTTAAACAGATGGACTAAGACTCTGAGATTCTGCAAAGTCTACTCTTTTATTCCAAACCCTTTGCTTCAAAAGCTTATTTCTTTAGTCTCAAGAATGTGTTTCTCTCATTTTAAAACCTTTTGATTTACCCACCTGAAGATTCTTAAAGATTCAACCTGGTGTTTGCTTTTACTGTGAACTTCAAGAAACACCTCAGGAATGAATACCCCCTTGCTTTCAGCAAATTACAAGAAAATTGTTAGTCATCACCACTGGGATCTTTTCCCATCACAATTCAGTTCCTTCATAAACATCCAGAAATGCATGTTGTTGTTAAGTGCCATCAACTCAGTTCCAACCCAAAGAGACTCTGTGTAGGGTTTCCTAGGAGTAGTTGGTGAGCTTGAACCGTCAACCTTGCAGTTCGAATGGCTTGCAGTCTGATACATTAACCCACAGTGCCACACCATAGGAGAAATATTATATCGCTCTTTAGATAATTACAAACAAGAACTTGATTAGGACTTCTGAATGTGTTAAAGGGAGCAATGTAGTTTTTTGTTTTGTGGGGTGTTTTTTTTCAAATTAGTAATTTATAAAATTGTCAATATGTAGATTGTCTAAAGAACTTTAGCAAAGAACCAATGAAAATGACTGAAATGGATTTAAATTGGTGAATTAAGGTCCTACCTCAGATATTATGAGAATAATAGTGAAAAAAAAAAAAAATAGCACCAATATTTCCACCCATAGCACTTTCTAAGGAGCTCTGGTAGCGTAGTGGTTACAAATTGGGCTGCAAACCTTAAGGTCAGAAGTTTGAAACTACCAGCTGTTCCACAGGAGAAAGACGAGGTTTTCTGCTCCTGTAAAGATTTACAGCCTCAGAAACCCTGTACAGGGTTGCTATAAGTCGGAACCAACTCCACGGCACATCACCACACCACCATAGCACTTTCTGCTCATTTGGGTTCAATAACTCAACACAACGGTCACACAGAACTCAGAATTATGGGGCTTATTAGGGAAGTTAACAGGTTGAAATTCAGGGTTGGAAATGTTCAGGGCCCAGTTCTCAAGACAGGACAGTCTGTCTTCTACCACATCCACAATCAGGCCACTCTGGCCTTTGGCCCCTTAGCCTGGCCTCTACCTTGCTCTGTTGTGTTACAAAGCTCTTTTAAGGCCGCTGATAAAGGCTCACAGGACACACCACTGCACCTTAAGCCTCAACCTAAAGACATTCTGCTCTAATTATGTGGTTCAACAAACGTAGCTCCCTCAATTAAGTGCCCAAAGACACCCCACTCTGAAAGCAAGCGTCCTGCCCCAAGTCACTCACTCAGCTTTACTTGCTCCGTGGGCTGGGAAGCCGACTGCTGTGTCTCGTGCTCTGGCTCTTGCTTCTGCTGATGCTGCTTCTGGGTCTCTTCTCCAGTGTCACAGCTTTCTGTCCCTGGGTTGAGGTTCAAAGCACAGGGATCTTAGGGGGGGGGGGGTCCCAAGAAAGCACTCACCTTCTGGCTCTTCTTTTCTGGTGGTAATGAAATCCCCACCCACCTCATGCTTCTAAAATGGTTCATTTTATAACCATCTTAGAGTTCCACGTTTTTACAATCACAATTAACTCCGTTAACAATCATTCACAACTGAATCATAGCATCCAATTAGTGTCTTCTCCCACCTTCTTTTAACCAGACCCATCAGAAAAAGAGTTGTTTGGTGGAGGTTATAGACTAAGGCTAGAAGAGACGTGTTACATAGTACACTATACCACACAGTATAATCCCTGGGTGTCTCTGGGTGGTGTGAGCGGTTAAGCACTCTACAACTAGCTGGAAGTTTGACAGTTCAAACTCATCTCGAGAGGCTCAGAAGAGAGGCCTGCAAATACACTTCCAAAAAGTCACAACCTTGAAAACCCTCTGGCAAGTTTCTACCCTGCACCACGCTAGCAACTCATAGTACCTATTTAATTCATGAATTTCTATTTGTCCCGAATCTTGCTCTAACCAAAAAGTGTTCACATGGAGATTGTGAACACTTTACATTAAAAGAGAAAATGTATAGGGTGTTTTTTTCTCTCTCTCTCTTTCTTTGTTGTGTATTTGGAACTGGGAGTTACACAACTAAAGTTTCCTTCAGGTGAGCTTCCAGGATGGAGAAGATGTTACATTAATTTAGATTGGTAACACATGAGCCAGGGCCTACTCAACGGCAGATAACGACCAGCAGCCATCATCTCTAGAGTCAAATAAAGAAGAGGGAGTTGAGAACTTGGAGTCAAGTAAGGTTTATGAGGAGAGAAGGAACCATGAAAAGGCAGAGCAAAACATACTGTTCATACTGACTCATGACGACCCCAAATGTGCAGAGTAGAATGTGCTCTATAAGGTTTTCAAGGCTGTAACCTTTTCTTCCTAGGTGCCTCGGGTAGGTGTGAACCCTTTCAGTTAGCAGTTGAGCACTTAATTTGCTCCATGCAGAGACTCAATTCACAGAGCACAAATTGTCAAATCAAACTTTGAAAGACCTTCCTAACATGTTTAGAATAGGTCATTACCCCCCCCCCTTTTTTTTTTAAATCTGGAAGCCAATGGATTAGGACTGCAACCACTTATAAAATGCTAAAGCAGCAATTGCATCATTTAAAAAAAATCTTACATTTATCTGTTTACCAGCTACCTTAGTATTTTAAAGAATACTTTTTTTTCTTTAAAAAAATTCCTTCAAATTCCCCAAACATTGGCATTTTCCCAGGTTCCGTGTCTACTTTTGGATTCCATTCAAGTCCATAACTACTGCAAATAATAGCAAACACATAGTAGCGGAACTTATTAGTAGGACATCTTTACCCCACTGTTCTGAAAGAATTTAAAGCCATGTTAATGACAGTTATGACAGATAATGCAATTAACAATCCGTGCTAGTTATGTAATGACATAGTTTTAAGGCAGTCTTAAATTATGCAGTGGATGAAATGCATCGATTTAATCCCAACTCTGTGAAATCAGAAACCAAGAAAAGCTGGTGGGATAAAAAGATCATGAGTAAGATGAGATAATTTGACAAAATGTTTTGTTGGGATTTATGGACTTTACAGATGATTAATTATATTGCCATTACATCAACACAGATTTTTAAAATGTTAAACCTCAACATAATTTATGGTCTATAAAAAGGAAACATAGAATTGAATTTGGAGTTGATTTCATTAGATATTTTTGTGTTCTTTAAAAACAACAGAACACTTGTCAAATTGATTCCAACTCATGGTGACCCCCCCAAGGAGCTCTGGTAGCATAGCGGTTATGAACCTGGCTGCGAAACCTTAAGGTCAGCAGTTCAAAACTACCAGCTGCTCCGCAGGAGAAGGATGAGACTTTCTGCTCCCCGTAAAGATTTGCAGCCTCGGAAATCCTGTACAGGGTTGCTATGAGTTGCAACCGACTCCATGGCACAAACAACAACATAGTAAACCCCAAGTATTCCACGGAGTTTTCTTGGCTGTGATTTTTATGGGAGCAGATCAACTGGGAAACCTACTGGGCTGGGAAGCCGACTGCTCTGTCTCCTGCTCTGGCTCTTGGTTCTGCTGAGAACTGCTTGTCTGTGGCTCCTCCAGTGCCTCAGCTTTCTGTCCCTGCGTTGAAGAGGTTCAACACACAAGGATCTCATATCCTTCATAGATGGCAAAAAGGATCTCAGGTCCAAAGAATGCTTTCATTGTCATTCATTCTTCCATGGAGCTGCAGATGGGTTCAAACCGCCAATTTTTCAGTTAGTACTCCAGCATAAACCATTTACACCCCCCAGGGACCTGTATTCTTCAAACCCTCTATAAATGAACTTTCACTCACAAGTTTGGAAACCATGAAGGAAAAGTTTAAATACTGTGCTTCCAAATGAAGTTTAAAAAAAGGGGGGCGGGGGGGTGGTGGTGAAAATCTAGTATGTGTTTCCTAATTACTTTCATAAACATAATGTTTTTATACTCAGGGTAGTTTTTGCCTCGTTGACTCTCCTTGTAGAGCCAATGGTCAAGAAA